AAATAACAAAAGGAAGATAAATATTTGGTAAATCAAGTTTTTTTATAACAATTTGGGAAACTGACGGTAACTGTGACGCCAGCTGGAATTTTATAAGGTAAGCACGTTTTATTTCACCGTCTTTTCACGGATGGAAAATCATGGAATATTCCACGAAGGTGCCTTTTGGCTTAAAGACAATATCAAATGTTGCCTAATTACATGGAATTGGAAATTTGAATTTTTCCGTGTGAAAGCGATGTTGAACACACAATTCATAAGCTTTTAATTACATGATTAAATATAAAAACGACCACTAACTATCACCAAAAGTCCACCAATTAATTTTTTTTTTTTAATATGCAAGGTGATGATTACATCATAATGACGTAACATGTCACGGAAGTTAGCTTATGGGCTTAATTGACATGAACGGGCTTAGCTTTTCTCTTACACACACGACACAACAGCTACAATATGAGATTGGTTTTATGATACTAACCATAGACTAGATTTGTAATCATAAATTGATAAGTTCTAGCTGAATTAGTGATCATGTTTACCAAATTGAAACATATTTAAAGCAAAAAAAAGTATGAAAAACATGATTAGAGTTTTGGTCTTGGATGCGTTTTCAATGAAAATTGACATTGATTTTGCACTCGGACGAAGCTCGGGGAAGCAGTAACAGATCTGCCAAGACTTGCTTCTCTTTGTCAGCTGGTACCTGAGCACTAACTTTCACCACCTCAAGACATGACAATTTCCCCAAGAGATGCTTCATTTGTTCCAGTTCTTCGTTGGAACCATCGTACTCGGTTATCTCTAAGACCTCCACACGACAAGACAATAAGAAAGTATACTCTGAAACGCACTCGCAAACCCATTTATTTACTTCTCGTCCACAGTGCAAAGAACCCTGAAACGAATGGAAGGATTTGATAACTAGTACTTACTACAAGGTTCTCCATATTTGTTTTTGTCCAATGAACTTTTGGGGTGATTTATCGTACCACGATGATGAGAGTCTTCAGATTTGGAGATTTCTTTATCAGCATTACCAGAGGAGACCAACAGTAGGTACGAAGGCTAACAGATATACGAGAGAGCTTTTCAAACACCGGGATTGCTTCAGGGAAGACACCAAACATCTGGAAACATAAGAAAAAACCAACTAATTTATCAATCAATTGCAACCTATCTAATACCTCAATGAATACTAAATATAGCTTATCTTCATATTCTTTTAAGATAACAAAGCACACTTACCTTCATAGTTTCAAAATTCATGTCCAGAATCTCAACATTTCTTAACCCTTTAATCAGATTCGTTGGATTGAAACCCTCTGCAGTAACTTGGTCCCATACACAGTCTTCGTGCACACAAAGATCGAGCTTCGCTTCAACAAGGAAGTTGAGATTAACAATCGGATACTCTATTGGAACATAATCAGAATACTCTAAGTAGGTAAGACCCGGAAGATCCAAACTAACGCTATCGAAATCATAAGCAAGTCCCCGACCATCCAATCTAATAATCTCATCACCAGAGTCATCATCATAAGGTTGCCACACTTGACGCCGAATAGTAAGTCTTCGAAGGGTCGAACTAGACACAATGCAAGACCATTTCCAGCGTTCCCACTCGATACCATCTATAACTAATTCCTCAAGGAGAGGGGACGCAGAAAGAAGCGTTGTGAACGAACAACGACCAAAATCATAATAGAACCGAACTGAATCAAGCAAGAGAGTCTTGAGAGCTGGAAGACAAACATTGTTAGGGAGAATGTCAATAACAAAACCACACCCTAGCGTCAGTTTTTCGACAGTCTTGCAAGTGAAAACTTCCAAAGGCAGTGAATACCCTTCTTCGACAACTGTTTTCAGTTCAAGAACAAAGACACCACGCTTCAACACATCACATAAACAACGGTTCACATCACCATATAGCTCAAGAGGCACAAACCGCCAACCTATAGAGAAATTCCTTATACGAGAACTCGCTGGTAAAGCCAATACTCCATCCACAAAATCAAGAAAATGCTTAGAAGTCCCTTCACCACTAACCGAGCCATCAAAGCGAAGATATTGTTCGATTGTTATCAGATTTTGCCACCTCTTTGAAAGAACCGTCGTGAAAGCAGCCTCCTTTGCCGATAAGAATGACCCGATGTGGCGAATAAGCTCGTCTGGTAGATTGCTGATTCGATCCATGTCTTTTGCAAAATCCTAGGGAAACCCTTTTCACTACTCACAAAGACCCAGTTCCAAATCACAAATGCAAAAACAGGAAAACTGAAGCGAAACAACAAGGAAATTAGCAGAAAAATTCGATCAGTTCTTCACTAGTACCATGATCATCTATACCTTTTAGTGAATTGAAGTCGCATCTTCAAAGCGAATTCAACGAGGAACTAGAGCAGAGTTGAAGCCAAGCCACAACCTTTCTCTTTATACCACGACCAATCTTCTGTGTGCAAGACCACGTGGATTTTTCCACTGTAAACCTGCCACGTGTAACCAATTTGCATTGAGGTCCAGAATCAATAAATATAATGTAGATAACTTTAATTTGAAAGCGAATAAAGCCATCAAATACTAATATTTTACAATATAATGAAGATAACTTTAATTTGAAAGCTAGGTCCATAAGAGCATCCGTATTGGTGAATTTTGGTGGGTATCATTAAATATAAAATTATTAAAATTTGAGTAAAAGGAAGAAAGAAAGTGTTTTTGGTTAAAATAATAGGGTGTATTGAAATATAAAATTAATAAATTTGTGTAAAGAGAAGAGATAGTAGGTATTTTTGGAGAGAGAGAGTATCAAAAGTATCAAATAGTTGATACTTTTGAAGAGAGAAAGAGTGTGTTTTTAATAATTTTATATTTAAAGAGAGTATAAAATTAATAAAAGTTGAGTAAAAGGATGAAAGAGAAGGTATAAAGTTAAGTAAAAGGAAGAGAGAGTGTGTTTTTAATAATTTTATATTTAATGATACTCTCAAAAGTTCATGGATAAAGATGGCCTAATGAAACTTTTAATGGATTAAACACATCACAAATTCACAGTTTTTTAGTAAGGAGAAGAGATTCTAATTACTATGATTACCAAAGTACAAGTCAATTCTGACTTCTCAAAAAAAAGAGTTAACTAATTATTGGTTACATTAGCAGAGAGATTAGTGTAGTGACTTGATCATGTTCTTCCATTTGTCCTTGAGATCAGCCGAATTACGTGTTTGGTGAAACACTCTCTCTCCCATTTTCAGAATCTTCCTCCATGGCATGTTCTTGTTCACTTCTGCTGCAAATGTCTCCACTCCTACCTGAGACAACAAACACAATATCATCAACAACAATTCTTACAATAAAGAAAGAAAAACAGCTTAGAGCTTGGGTATTGTTACTATACCTTGAGCATGTCTTCTTCTTCGGATGTCCAAAGTCGTCTCCTTCTTTGATCCTTTTTAAAAAACGAAACGTACCTGCAAATTCCATGAGGTTAACTTTATACTATACTAGTATTCATTCATCATTCATGTTCCAGAGAATGAAAGGAAAAGGAACCACCTCGGTGTCTTTGACTTAGCAGCAGCTACTTTGGTGGTTGCTTTGCTGAGTTTTCTCTGCTGGTTCTTCGTCTTTTCTGATGGGGATGAAGTTCTCTGCTCGTTTACACCTTCTCCATTTCGTTCCTTAGTTGATGAGATTTCACTATCAGTATCATCATTCAATTTCACTAG